CTCCAGAAACCTCTTCAGCGTTTAGACGTTCTTCAAGATGAGATCAAAAACAGAGAAATGACACAAACAAGTGGCGCTTCTTTGCATTTTCTTTGCTGCTGCAACCCAGAAACTGCATAAATGCACCTTAAAGGCAGGCCTCTAGAGGAGCTTCAAGCTAAAAAAAAAACAAAAAAAGCGCTGGTGTTTCCTGTTTCAAACATCCTCACAAGGAGGGAGGAAGAGTGAGGGAAGCCAGGAGACACAATTACATCATAAAAAAACATTGACTATCTCTGTTTTATATCCAACTTTATGAAGTGAAGGTGGGTGTGTGAGTGGGAGGTGTTCCGGTAATAAAAGGTCAAACCAGGTTGTAATAATCCCTTGAATGTGCAGCGTACGAGCTGCTACTGTTCTATAAAGAAGCTGAAATAAAGAATGTACTTTGGGTGAGTCGCCAACATAGAAGCTGAGTTTGGATGTTACAGGACGTCATAAAGTGCTGCTCGAATAATCGTGTTTCTTGAGTATATTTATGACTTCTTGGAACTCCAGTAGTTATCTGTGTAATCGTGCAACATCTGTTTTCTTTCTTTTGATCTGTTTTAGACGCTCGGTGTGGTGTTTAGGTGAGTGGAGAATTCACTTTACTGCCCCTTTGACTGGCTCCTCTCATTCTACTCTGTTGTTGTAGCAGAACTCGGGCATATTTTTAATATATTACATTATTAATAACATTCAGCACTTGTAGCACCTGGATCCTCAAATTTCTGCTTGACCAGCTCTGACTTTCTTGAAATGTTTATAGCATAAAATATGCACATTTGTAAAGATATTTGTGAAGCGTAAGCATCAGTATTTTAATTTTGTTTTTGCACATTTACTCACTTTCAACAATTTTTTCTCACACTGAAATTTGATTCTGTTTGAACAACAATATCTCAAGAACAATTAGAGATAAAAAAAAAAAACGGAAATTTCCACAGTTATTTCTCATCATGTCATTGATCATCAATAATAATAATAATAACAATACTTATATATTGCTTTTCAATATACTCAAAGATGCTTTACAATGTAGGCAACAACAAAACAGACAAAAATAATAACAAATAAATAAAATATAATGGAAAAGGAGCATAAAGAAAAATTCACCGATGTTTTTGTTTTATGGTCTTTTCCATTTTTGTGATCAATTAATTCATGTTATTCTACATGTTTAGTTTTGTGTTATTGTGACCTGCAGCTACTTGTGGTTCAGAAAACATCACTAGTTGACTTCTGCAATGTCAGTTATTTTTGTTCTTTTTTGTTCAAGGTTGGGCTTTTTTTTTATGACATTTGCATTTTTTTCAGATTTCAACTCACCTATATTTAGAGAGTATTTGATCTACTTGTTCAGTATTGCAGATTCTGAATCAATGACATGATGAGAAATAACAGTGAACATTTCAGGCTTTTTTCTCAAATGCTTTCTGAGCTACTGTGATTATTATCGACATTCTCTGATCTGTTAAAGGCTGAATCATGGACGTACAGGACGTTAAAGCGGCGCAGCGTAAAGTTGAAACCAGAGCAAAGCCAAGTCCTAAAGGTCTCACACCAGCAAGACAAAGGCAGAAAGTGAAGCAACAACCATCAGGTGACAAACATTCAGAGGTTCTCCGCTGAAATCTGAGCAGTTTCTGGACGTTTTTCATCACCGTGTGATCATTTTTCACTGCAAACGTAAAGTCCTGCACCTCAGGAAACATGAAGAATCATGAAGACAGAATTCAATTCAACAGAAATATAAAAAAACAAAAACGATCATGATGGGACCCGTGAACTAATATTTAGTTGAACAACCCTTTGAGTGAATCACTGCCATCAGGTGTTTTCTGTAACCGTCAGTCAGACTTCTGCACCTGTTGACAGGTATGTGGATTTCACTGCTCATCAGCAAAGTGCTCTAATGAGACAGATTTTTTTTTTAATTATTCTTTTCAACCACAATTCAGAAGCAACGTCTTATTTCACTAAATTATAATTTAGCAAATTTTTATTTATTATTACTTTTTTCAGTTTCTAGTTATTTGAGTGACTGTTGTGAATTCTGCCTTTTTTTTAATGGAAAACTATGAATACATTTGAGGACGACTGTACATTAAAGTTACAACACCGGAACAAACATACCCACGATGGATAATTAACTATATTTATTTTTGCAACCTCTACAAACTCATCATTTTTTTACACTTTTTAACGCTTTTGTCGTGTTACAGTCGAGTCAGTCGTGGTTTTTTAATTACACTGATGGCTGAAGAATTTCTTTTTTTTTTTTTAGAGAATTTTTAAATGAGACATGTAGAATAACTGATTTGGGTTAAATATCACAATTTTGAGCTCAGATTTCATTAGTTTTCCTGATGCACGTCTCAAAGACCTTTGGAAAGTTAAAAAAAATCTGATGATTCTTTCTGCTTTTACGGCATCTGGCTTTGAAAAATGGTGTCATTTTGGCTATTTTTTAAAACCTAACAGCCTTTCGTAGCTGCCTGTTTTTGGAGTTCAGCGGTTAAACCAAGGATTTGCTTTTCACGATTGCTGCATGTAAAAATGCTCATCATATCATAAAGACAAATAGCTCATTGTTTTGTAAAATGCAATGTTTTGAACTCATTAAATCGGACTATGATATTCATGTTTATCCCGCCTTTACCTGATGTATGTATTTATTCTGTCTATTAACTGTGTTTTCCCTGTTTGTGTTGACTGCAGCATGGGTGAACAACCCAAGACAAATTTCCCACAGCTGGGACAATAAAGTTCATCTTGAACCCTACTTTGGGGATCCAGTGGATTCCTTAACAGTCATGTAGGATCTAACAGTAATCTGATCCTTGTCACTGTGCAGAGGAATCCGCCCCGGTGGCCGAGCAGGTGATCACCCAGGAACTCGCCAACTGGATCAAACAAAACGCCAATAACCTCAAGATCCGGCAGACGGACCGCCGCTGGGCTGCTGAGGTGGTCAACGATTTCCGAGAAAACCTGCTGAGGTTCCTGAGGAGCTGCACCGATCAGCCTTTGTTCCAGTCCGCAGACTTCCTCACCACTGGCAGCTATTTTGAGAAAGTGAAGGTGAGCTCAGCTTCTGCAGCTTTACTCTCACTGTTTGTGCTCAAACCAACAGAATAGTTAGGATACTCCATCCATCCATCCATCATCTATCGCTGCAAGAAGGTCGCCGGTTCACGTGGGGGGACCGGGATCTTTCTACGTGGAGTTTGCATGTTCTCCCCGTGCAGCGTGGGTTCTCTCCGGGTTCTCCGGCTTCCTCCCACACAGTCCAAAAACATGCTGAGGTTAATTGGTGATTGTAAATTGTCTGTAGGTGTGAATGTGAGTGTGCTTGGTTGTCTGTCTCTAAGTGTAGCCCTGTGATAGTCTGGTTACCTGTCCAGGTGAACCTGCCTTCACCCTGAGTCAGCTGGGACAGACTCCAGCCCCCCATGACCCTGGTGAGGATTAAGGTGTAGAGATAATGGATGGATGGATACTATATATATATATATATATTCAGTTCAATTAAAACTTCATGAAGAACACAGCTGAGTCTCTGCAAGATGTTGTAGCAGCAGCTGGTCAGCATACAGGGGTACAGATAGCTTTAAAAACAAAGTTTTTAGGGTATAAAGGTACATTTCTGGGTGAATACGATGCAGATGGTAACTGGGCAGGTTGCTGAGATAATGACTGAAATTAAGGTCAACAGGAGCTGAGGTTTGGTGCTTCCAGTTGTGTTGGACTGTTTCCTCTGAGTTTATGAAGTACCTGCGGCATCACACTGGTCTCACTTTTACATCACATATCATACTGAATCTGGCCTCCTGCCTCAGATCCACAGCCCCGACGAGTTTGACATGATGCTGAAGCTTCAGGTTCCGAATCGCCTCACCATTGCGGAACTGGACCGAGGCCTGTTCTACCGGATCGACCTCACGCGGTCCACCCGGACCCCCGTACAAGCCTTCCTGCTGGAGAACCAGCTCACCCTGTCGTCCAGAAAAGTCCTGACCGAGACGTACCGCCTGGTCCGCAAGTTCCTCAAGACCTACAAAGGTTTTCTGCTTCACATCAAATGTGTTTGTTGGTGTTGGTTCTCCAGGGCCTGGTGACCCGTAGAGCTTTAGGAAAAGCAACTGGACTTTTTTGTGGTTTATGAAGACGACATCTTCAAGGACAAAGAACAAATTTGTTTGATTTTTACTGAAGCTAATGACTATAATCCAGGTTTTGTTTACAGGAGCTAAAGTTTAGTTTGTTGCTTCCAGTTGTTTTGAACCAGTTTATTAAATACCTGCAGTATCAAACCATGTAAGAGTCTTCAAAAACGTTACGCATCGTCTTCAAGAACCAAAAAGAAGTCCAGTTGCTTTTTACTGAAGCTCTCCGGATCACCTCTGATCTGTTTGGAGTTTGCTTCCACCTACTACTTTCTGTATTTGCTGCGTCTTTTAGAATCCAAACTAGACCAAACAAGAGCTTGTTCCTCTTGTTTCCTCATGAATTCCTCTTTTTTTTTAACTTGAATCCAGCGACAAAAAAAAACAAAAAAACATTTCAGTCAGTAGCAGCTGCAAGGCCAAACTGAACATGAGAGGAATTCTATTAAATTTCTCGTCTGCATAAAGAGAGCAAGTTTGCAAAACATCTCTCCCTTCTGCCTCATCAGAAATCTAAATGAAAAGGTAAATACCGGTCTTATAATGTGTCAGTGATGTTATTGGATCCACTCAACTCCAAATCAGCCAAATTTGAAGAAACACAACAACACTTCATCCATTTTAGTCGCAGTACCACCAGACAAGAACCTTCTCAAAATGGCAGCAGACTCATAAGTACGACATTTTTTTGAACGAGTGTTTCTGGTTTGCAGTCCCTGACGAATGCTGTCGCTGGGAGGTGAACAGGAAGAATCCGTACTCTCCGGCTGTCACTTTGTCTTTGTGCAGAACTGACAAGAGCAGCGACGAACTGATCTCTGTGGATGTAGTTCCTGCTCTGGAGGTAAACGTTCAGAACTATTTTTTTCATCTTTATTTAACCAGCAAAAGGCTCGTTGACATTCAACACCAAGGCAGAAAAAGCTGTGCGTCACCGTATCATTTAATCGCTAAAATACGAGTCCTCGATGTGCTCATCTGAATGTGTTTGTCGTTCTGGATTCACTCAGTAAAAATCAGCTCAGACAGAAAAACAAGAATAAATCCTGGAAGTAACAATACAATAAGAGCTTCCTGTTTGAGTTAATATGCTCGTGTTGATCATTAAAAAAAAGACCCATATAGAAATAAAACCAGCCTCTATTTTACTGAGCATCATTTCACTTATGAACAAAACTAAGACGCTACAGACATAATTAAAGACATAAAGGCCTGAATGACCTCTAATGCTGTTTAATTTGGCACCTCAGGGACACTATCTGACCGCAAAGGTACTCTGGATGGTGTTTCTGTGGCATCCAGCCCTAAAAAAAAAGCACTAAATAAGCCCATCTCTTTCTGTGAACATCAGATTTTGTTCCTACATCTGATTTCGTAAAACTGCCGTCAGTGGTTTTATGGGAAACTATGCCGGGTTCAGGCATGAAGCTGCCAAATTAACAGAAATAAAACCTGAAAACTGAGTGAAAATAAGCTGCAGAGTCTAGTTTTCTCTCAGAATTACAACATGATGAAGAGTTTTTATGGATTTTTTTGCCCAGAAACCAACAGCCTACCCAGCTTTGATAGCACTGTTGTACTGATTGATTTATTGTGAGTTAACGTTGGTTCTACCTTGCAGGTCCAGGGCTGGCCGGCTCCAGTCCGCAACGGTCCAGATGTGGACAACTGGCTGGGAAAGAAGGCTCGCCAAGAAATCAGAGGTTTACCGTGTTACTATGTGCCAAAGAGGCTCAAAGGACGGAACCTCAGTGAAGACGCCAAAGGTGAGAAGAACTACAAAACACAGACGAATAAAGGAATTCCATCTGTGTCAGACTCATGTGAGATTTATTTTATACAGAGTGACAAAACTAAATACACCGCAGTGCAATGGTAATAAAATGGTAAATGGCTCAGATTAGCATCATCTGAGAATATTTGTTTTAAGTTGAACGATGTTGAATCTAATCTAACAGGGTGTGCAAGTAAATATAGGAAGTAATAATTAGAATGCTGTCTTTATTTGTATGGCCCCTTTTTCAAAATAAAGTTACAAAGTGCTTTAGAAAATAAAAACGTTAACAAATGATGAAAACAAATTCAACCAAATAAATTAGATCCTAAACAAGCAATACAACAAGATTATCAAGATGATATATAAATATTTTTTTTCCCTATATACATTATATTATATTATTCCTATACAGTACATATAAGAAAACAGCTGTTGTGTCAAAGTGCACTCCTGCAAAAAGGATTATTATTGGTATTATGAAAGTCATTTATGGTGTTATGTTTTGGATTA